CTGTGGATGCAGATGGCCCTGAAACTGGTCAGACTCGCACAAGAAGATGTTCTTAGCAACAGACCACTAGGACCACTTCCCTTATTAAAGTTGCTGTAAATAGTTTCTTCCCTTATCGCATTTTTGGCTGGCATCATGGGAAAAATGTCTCTTGCAGGCCTCAAAAGGGAGATGTTTTATTCCAAGAAACCATGCAGAGTGGTCAGACTGGAGGTGGGCTTGCTTGTAACAGGCCTGGAGACCTTCCTCTTGGACTTCATGGCGAGGGGTCGAATCTCAGATAAAGGAGACTGGTGGACATACTAGAGTTAAGGAAACATAGAAAAAAAAAGCTACTTCAAATATTTATGTATATACATAATGGTAGCAATATAAGTATTTTCATTGGATAAGGATACAGGTTGAATAAATTTGTCTCTTCCTCCAAGTCCATCATAGCCAGACCTTACCTGGAATAAAAAAGATGCATTAAGGCAAACTGCACAAAATGTTCAAAACTTTGGGGTCTAGATTTTTTTGTTGTGAAATGAATACTTCTATTCAGCAAGAATGCATTAAATTATTTAAAAGTGACAGTAAAGACATTTATTACTTATAATTGCAATTATATTGCAGCGACTGTGAGAATATTTAGAAACATATAAGAAAATCGTACTGCCCCTAAACTTTTAAATGGTAGTAAATGTGTGCATGCAAACCAAGAAGAGTTGATAAGTTGAAAAAAAATATAGAAGTCTCTCACAGTGCCAAATTTGCATGGGTCCAGCATGCTCCCAAATGCATGCTTTCTGAAGAGCAGCGAGTTCCTTAACATGGGCCCCATCATGACATCTTTAACACGAGCGTTCTGAGAAAAAAAACACACACACACACACACACACACACAAACATTACACACTCCATCTAATTCCAATGTCAGATTCTTCAACACCAAGACAGCCCGCTTAAACACATACACTATGTCCGAGCGCATTTTCCGTGTTTTTGAATGAGGACCTGTGGAAAAACAAAAACAAATGGATATCAATAGAAATAATATGAGCAGTGTGACTAAACTGTATTGTACGGATTAAAAACTCACGCTGAAGGGTCCAGACGCATCTTCTTAGATGGAACCTGAACGGGTTTCTTCTCGACCTGTTCAGGTGTGTTAATGTCGAAGGTCAGGTTGAGGTCAATTTCCTGAGAGTCTGTCATCGGACCACAACCAGGAGGCTTCAGCACCAGAGGAGCAGGGCTGGAAACACAAAAATCAACAATGTCTCTTTCGTCAGCTCTATTGAATAGCCAAAAGTTTTGCTCAAAATATAAACTGATTTCTGACCTTTCGAAGACCAGTCTGCTGATGGCTTCATTAGTGCGATTTGGAGTACTTAACGTCCGCTGAAGAATTTCCACCTTCTTCTTCAAGCTCTGTGGAACATGAGAAGTCAGATCAAGAGTTCAGAAACAGCAGAAAATAAGTGTCAGTTTGTAAAAATTGCAGCCCCTTGTGGCTGATTTGAATGGTCTCTTGAAAATGAATTTTGATGCATTTTTACATAATTGTAGGATTTTTATGAAATTTCTCAGTTTATCTTTCCCTTCAATTTCATTTGTGTACATATGTCATATTTAACCTAAAGGCAAGACACTACAGGTAACTTTTGTAACTACTTGATATCACCAGACTTCCCCAGTTAATATACATCAAGACATAAAATTTTGCTTTACAAGTTCTGAAATTGTATGTTTAAAAATGCAAATTTGGCATTAACTAATAAAAATGCCCTGATTTGCATACAATGTAAGAAGACAAATTTGAACACTGAAAATTCTTGTTTCATTTAGTTAACATACTAAAGATCCAAAATCCTTTCTGCAAAAACCTTTTTCAGTCACTGCATAGTTCAGAAAATACTGTCAACAGTCAGAAAAAAAAATCTAAATGTTTTTAGGAAAAACATTTTTTTTTAATCCAGGTGAATGTTATATGAACAAAACCCTCTGTACAAGTCTTCAGAATATAGATAGGATTAATGGCCTTTAAAGATACGCAAAAATTTTGCTTTACAAGTTCTGAAATTGTATGTTTAAAAATGCTAATTTGGCATTAACTAAAAAATGCCCTGATTTGCATACAATGTAAGAAGACAAATTTGAACACTGAAAATTCTTGTTTCATTTAGTTAACATACTAAAGATCCAAAATCCTTTCTGCAAAAACCTTTTTCAGTCACTGCATAGTTCAGAAAATACTGTCAACAGTCAGAAAAAAAAATCTAAATGTTTTTAGGAAAAACATTTTTTTTTAATCCAGGTGAATGTTATATGAACAAAACCCTCTGTACAAGTCTTCAGAATATAGATAGGATTAATGGCCTTTAAAGATACGCACTATAATAATCTACGGACACAAATAGATAAAGTGTAATAAAGTAGATCAAATAGAATTTCTAACAGTGATCTCTTTGTCTGCATTGGACAGGTCATTCTGAAGTGCCTTCATGTCCTCCTTTGTCTTGTTTGTCTCTGTAGTAGCTTTTTGCAACTGCAGTAAAAAAAATATATATATATAAATGGATGCTGAAGAAAACTATAAAGAACAATAAGCAATTATACATTTCAAATAATGATATTTTTGATAGACAGTCTCAGAGACAAGAAATGAACCTTGCTGTTAGAAGAGATCAGTTCCCTTTTTAGCTTCTCACACATCTCATTTGATGACTTGAAGCTTCCTTTCAGATTGTCGTACTCCCTGAGAATAAATAAGAGGTTTGTTCAAGCTGTATTTGCTCTATGGATATAACACTCAAATATAGCATATGAGGAAGCACAACTGGTGTACTGACATTGTAAAAGGTTTGAGGAAGTGAAAATACTGAGGTTTTAAGTTTTAAACTACAGTATATGACTACACTAGGTATCCAGCAGTGAGAGTGTGTGTATTTGGAGGAAAGTAAAACCTACTTTTTAAGTGAGATGCAGTATATGGACAGCTGTTCAACAGCAGACTGACCAACGCCCATATCAGTGATCATGGCCTCTACCTCTGACCTTTGACCCTGTAGGACCACATCTAAACTAAAGGACAGAAACATACACAAGAGAGCACATGAACAAACAAGAAAGCCCACTAAATATTTTTTAACCTTATAACTAATCAGAAAAGTTCATTTATTATTTTTATTGATCACATGGGGAGATGGACACAAACTTTTCAGCTCTCAAGCCTTCTTCAGTATGTTTATGTCATATCTCTTGATGTGATGGATAAAAATAATAATTTAACTTTTTGAGTTTTGAGTGTGAATCACTATTGAGTTTTGAACACTGAATTATTGATATTGGAAGATGACAAATTTCAATAAGCACTATCATTTACTCACAGTCTATCTCTCTCACATACACTTAAGAACAAAATCCTGTCCTAGACAAATGAATTACTACCTCTCATAGGTTTTCATTTTGACTCGGAGTCGCTTGGCTTCCTCTTTAGCTGCCTGCCCTTCATTTTTCTGACTCTCCAAGAAATTCATCTGTTTCTGAGAATTTCATGCACAACAAAATTAATACCAGCATTAAAATACAATGCAGAAAGCATGCTGGACTAACAAACACAACAGTTTTTCACTAAAAATAAATGTACCCGGAGGACAGAACACAACATCTCTTTGTCTCCGACTTCCTTGCGGAGTCTATCCAGGTCCTTCTTCTGCTTCTCAATTGTGTCTTTTAGTGTGTCCACTGACTTCTGCTTGTCCCTCCATTCTTTCTCTGGAACGCATAACACATGTAAACACATAATATGGATGGATGGATGTTTTAAGGATCAATCAAGAACTTGAGGAAATTATTTCAGTCTTACCTTTTGCAGACAACACTGCTTTCATGCGATCAAGCTCATTCTGAAATTGGAACAATAAAGCCGGGCAATTCTGTCAGTTTACCGTGTTTACAAACTCTGGGCACTGAATAAATTCAACAGCATGCTATATCACCTGTAAACTTTCAGGATCCACTGGCGTCCCATCGTCCTCTGGTGCTATGTCGAAGAACAGTTTGTTGATAATGTGCCGCGTACTGACCTAAAACAGAAAGAGTGAGGTTTCATTTCAGTCCATACCTTCAATTAACTTCATTAATCAGAAGAACAAGTCAGTTCGCAGGTTAAGCCAATGGTTTACCTGTTTCCTGCATTGTGGACAGGTTTTGCTCGGGGCCGACTGAAACCACTGGAGAAGACTTTGTTGAAAGGAAAAGAAACATAGAAAGTCACTGAGAAACATTATTTACTGTTTAACATTCAAACATTGACATTTCTAAATATTTGAACGTACATACATTAATAATTGTTCAGGTTTCCACACATTCTGACCAATGAATTTTCATAACATTATCAGGCCTTTTTTTTAACAACTAAAATAACAAGAATTTTATAGACATTGCATAAAAGTGCAATGACGATCCTGTGGTAAATGGTATAATAATTGTTTAATATTATAATAATGCATATAATATAATATTCTAAAATCAAAACAAACGTGCAGTAGGGTGAAAGGAGACACTTACCAAGCATAATGAAAAGTGTGACCACAGTGAATTGCAGCCACATCGTTGGAATTATCAAAGAAATCTGAGCAGATGGTGCAGTATGCTCGAATGGGCATTGTTGATCTAAAATATTAGACACAACAAGGTCAAAATCTCTATGTCACAACACGTTTCCTGTGTGTTTTGTTAATTACTGATCTGTTGTGATACTCTGTGCTACGTGTTTATTACTTCATGTGCTCCATTTACTCACCCAGATAACGCTGAAACTATCGAGAGGTCCTATTCACGCGGCTTTGTTCAATTAAACTCCATAATTATGTTCATATGGCTTGTTTTTGGTTTAGTTTTGAGCTCGTGAAAACAGTGACGCGGCGCGCTTAGTTCAAACGTAATAACTCCTCCTTTTTGAGCGCGTCATCAACATACGACTCCTTGCTGCCTGAGAAATTTACGGAAACCGTGTCGGTATAAATGTTAAGCGAGATTTATAAAATTTAAGTGTTTCATTTAATTTGACATAAAAGCGTGGAAAGTAGCACAGTAGCACTGTAGCAATACTTAAAAAACGATATGTTCGTGAATCAAAAACCACATTTCCCATAGTACAACTCTTCCGTGATGACAGTCCGAGTTGATTTTTGACCCAAGAGAAGTCAACATACACTGATTTGAATAAAAACTGTGTAAGGTACAGTAACGATAAATTGTGTTATTAAGAGACTAAACTATGTGAACAACATCTGTTAGACTTGCTTCAGTTCAAGCTGGGGCAGAGTAAGATGTCTTCTAATGACATTCAACAGTTTTTAAAGGTTTAGCTCCGTGGCTAGTGCGTTAGCTGGTCAGTGGATTTATACTCAATGAGAAAATCCACAAATCTTCCATATGCGTTCAGTTCCAAGAGTATCTCAAGACTGGGATTCATTTACACTGTATTTTACAGTTTTAAAAAGAGAAGGTTTTTAATACAATTTGCACTGAATTTTAAATGTAATTTTGCTTGCATTATCATCATCATAAATACAGTATAGTCTAAATCCTTGCGATGTGTGTGTGTTAATATTTTGTTATTAATAACACATTAATATTGTAGGGATTTTTTAATTAAGGCAGTGATATTTGGCCACCTTTATGGAACATTTTTATTCTAACAGCATTTTAATAACTTCAATTGCATAAAACTGTATCTAAATCCATCAGAATAGAATATTATGAAATGCACTAAAAGAAGAATGAAGTTTTAAAGCTGAGGAATTAACTCATTTCTTGTTCCTTTATTAATGTGTCTTTCTGTAATTACACTTCCAGACGCTGATGGAAACGTATACATTGTACTGTAAGACCTTCAGAGCTATTGGGATCATGCAGTGAATCGCTCCTGGCACTGACTGGTGGTTCAGGACACTGCGTCCTCTCTTCTGCTGGGTCTCTCTCGTGTCCGATGCCAGGATGGCGGCAGACGTCCACAATAAGGGTGCACTCTGGGAGGTTAAAAATAGTAACTTGGTGCCACCAGATCGACTCCGGCAGGACCGATCGGACAGTCCGACCCCAGGGCTGGTGGAGGGGACCGAGCCAGGTTAGTTTCACAAATTTTTACCTAACTGTGTAATGATTAGATGCAAATATGTTATGCTTTTCTCCGGGATTGTAATCTTTATTTTCCTTGGAAACATTTTTTGCTGCCAAAGTTTTTATGATGCTTTAACAAAGTTATTAATCAGACCTATATGGTTCTTAAGCCTAGTACAGGGTGGGTCTCTATAAACAAACCACACCGTATTTCTCAGTCATGCATATCCTTGTAATATCCCATTGTATTTCCCGTTGTTAGTGATCAAATAACTCGTATGTTTGTATGTGATGGATGACTAGAATCTCAGAATTAGTTTAGCTAATCTAATTAGTTTAGATTTTTTGTGTTTTTGGAAAAAGTCTCTAATGCTCACTAAGACTGTATTTATTTAATCAAAAATGCAGTGAAACAGTAATATTATGAAATATTATTGCTATGTTTTTATTTGCATATATTTTAAAATGTTATGTAGTTTTATGATAGTGAAGCTAAATTTTAAGCAGTTTTCCTTGTCACGTGATCATTCATCATTCTGATATGCTGATTTGGTGCCCAAGAAACATTTCTTATAATTAACATATAATTATGTTGAAAACAGTTTCTTTTTTGCAAGATTCAAATTAACCGTATTTATTTGAAATAGAAATCTTCTTTTGTAATATTTCAAATGTCTTCACTGTCACTTTGGGATCAGTTTTATGCTTTCTTAATACATAAAACAATATATAAACATAAAACAGTTTTATAACAGCAGAAAGAGATGCACATAAAATTGCTGAAACTCTTTATTTATAACAGTTCTCTCGAATGCACAGAAAAATACTTTAATAAACTTATTTTTCTTATTCATTATTATCCATTTACAAGGCTATTGTTATTTTTTTTTAATTCACACAAGGTTTGGTAACACTCATATAATTGATGATTACATGAATGATACCTCAAGTCGTTTAGTTTGTTGAGCAGAGGTGTGCTATTACTTTTCCAAGCAATGTGTGTCACTCCTTAACAGGCGCTGGACAGGAGGGTGCCATGTTTGTTCATGCTCAGTCGTTTGAGGACCTGACTGCTGACAGCGAGCCCAACACCAATGACAAAGCTGCAGAGGTGGGCGACTCGAATGTAGGGAATGCTCAAGAAGAGGCTCTGGAAGGAGGTGAGGAGGGAGGTTTAGTGGTTGAACAGGTGGAAGAAGGGAAAGAGGAGGTTCGGAACCGCAACAAGGCAAAACAGGAGGATGTGACAAGTGAAAGATGGCGGAGTCACAGGAAGCATATGTTTGTCTTGAGTGAGGCAGGAAAGCCCATCTATACACGCTATGGAACAGAGGAAGCTCTCTCCAGCATCATGGGAGTCATGATGTTACTCATGTCATTTGTAGAGGATAAGAAGAACATCATACGCTCCATCCATGCAGGTAAGGGATATCTAGAAATAAAGCAAAAGAAAAATAGCTGATGTTGATAAAATTCTGTGGTCAGTAATTTTTTTTTTTTGTAATAAATACTTTTATTCAGCAGGGATGCATTCAATTGATCAGTGTCAGTAAGATATTTATAATGTGACAAAAGATTTCTGTCTCAAATAAATGCTGTTCTTTGGAATTTTTTGAAGCAGCGCAACTGTCAGCAACATTAATAATTTTAAATGCTTCTTGAGCAACAAATCAGCATATTAGAGTGATTTCTGAAGGATCATGTGACACTGAAGACTAAAGTAATGGCTGCTAAAAAGTCTTCTTTGCCAAAATAGTAATAAATTACATTTTAAAATATATTAAAATAGACAATACCTATTTTTAATGTAATAAAATTATTCATATTATATTTGAAATAACATTTCACAATATTACTATTTTACTGTATTTTTGATAGATGCAGTCTTGGTGAGCATAAGAGACTTCTTTTCTTAACGGGCCTAAACTTTTGAATGGTAGTGTGTGCAGTTTTTGACCAAATGTTTTTATTAATTTAGATTATTTATTAATAATATTGATTCCTGTTGTTTATTAATAATATTTATTCATATCATTTTGTTTTTTAAATAAAAAGCTGACTTGTGCCATGCTTTTTGGCTTTAAAATATGTTCTAACTAAATGCAGCAAGACAACAAAACAAGCGATAAATCACATCTCTTCCGTTTGATTCTACAAAACTACTGCAACAACCGTATAGACATTTTTGTGTGTAAACACATCTTTCAGATGGCTACAGGGTGGTGTTCCTGCGGAAAAGCCCTCTCATCCTGGTGGGAGTCTCTCGCACTAACTGCTCAGACCGGGAATTGACGCGAGAGCTTCAGTACGTCTACTACCAGATTGTTAGCTTGCTCACCCTCACGCAGCTGAACCACGTCTTCCAGCACCGGCAGAGCTACGACCTGCGCCGCCTGCTGGCCGGCTCAGAGCACCTCACCGACAACCTTCTGCGGCTCCTCGACCGAGATCCAGGCCTGCTGCTGAGCGCCGTCATGTGCCTGCCTCTGGCCAGCTCGGCCCGTGACATGGTCTCCTCCAGCTTGCAGGCTGCTAAAGCCAAGAACCTGGTGTTCTCCATCCTGCTTGCCGGAAACAGGCTGGTGACGCTGGTGCGCAAAAAAGACCAGTTTCTGCACCACATGGACCTGCATTTGCTCTTCAACTTGGTCGGCTCTTCGTCCTCCTTCCGAGCAGGCGAAGGGTGGACGCCCATATGTCTGCCCAAGTTTAACCCGGCTGGATTTTTCCACGCACATATTTCTTACCTGGAACCGGCCTCGGATCTGTGTCTTATCCTGGTGTCCACAGATCGTGAGGATTTCTTTAACCTCTCCGACTGTAAGAAGCGGTTCCTAGAGCGCTTGCGCAGACGCAGTGCATATCAATCCCTACAGGAAGCATTGAACACGCCAAGTTATCCAATCTCACAGGTTGGCATACCTGAGCTGCGACACTTTGTGTACAAGTCTAAAAGCTCTGGGCTCTATACAAGGTAAGACAAGTTTAGATGATGATGATCATGAAAACAATGTCTTTTAGGTAGATAGACACACATTGAAACTTCATGTCTTTATGTAACTTCCTGTTTTTTCCTGTCAGTCCTGACTTTCCAGCACCATACCAGGCAGAAGAGGAGCATGAGAAGCTGATGGGATTGTACCAGCACCTGCACAGCTGCCTGCATCACCCCACACGTCCCCTGCGCTACATTTACCACTGCACAGAGACCGAGAACCTTTATGCCTTGGTGAGTCTGCCATAAAGTGCAATACAGTGGCATTATTAGATTCCATTCATTCAGAGATTTTGTTGTGTGTATGCATGCTCGAGGAAGTATCCCGCTAAAATCACATTTGCATATGATCGATTTATAGCATTATGATTTCTGTGTTGTCTTGGTTTACAGTTTTGTGCTATATAGTCATGCACTACCATTGAACAAAATGAAGCTTTGGGTTAGGAAAGGTCAAAAGAACAGCTTTTATTTGAAATAGAAATTGTTTATAACAGCGTTAATGTCTTTACTGTCACTTTTGATCAATGTAATGCATCCTCCTCTGTAGGTAACGAGTGGTTTCGAGCTCTACCTCTGTTTTAGTCCTCTGGGAACAAAGGGCCTGGCTGTGTCTGCCGTCAACAAGCTCCTGAAGTGGATCAGGAAGGAAGAGGATCATCTGTTCATACTCAGTCCGTTAACATACTGAGCCAGTTTAGGCAGTTCTGAACACCAGAAACACTAGTGAACGTCTGACCCCAGACTGCTGAAAGAGCAGCATCTGTGACCCTACTTGAATGGATAAGGATGTAAACGGATGCTGTCAGATATTAGGGGTTTATTTGCTATTTTGAGGGCTACTCACGCTGGTGAAGTACCAGTACCATTCCTATGAGCAGTTGTCAAAGTATAAAAAACGATAATTGCTTTCAAACATGGCCCTTTGAAGGCAGTAGATTAGCACTAACAATCTAATAAATGCTCAATGTTTTTGCACTGCTGGAAACTAAACATCTAGGCCTGTGCTTTTTACTAGACCAGCCACTGTTTAAACTTAACATCTATGGTTTTAAATGAGCCAACAATGAGTGACAAATATTACTTATTGCTTAAATAGATTATTGAGCTGTGGCCTTCACATTTCCTGGTTTCCACGAGAAGATAAACTATTCATGTCATAGTTAGAATTGTATGTTTCCAGCCTGGTGACATGCAAATACTGTAAGTGTGGTTTGGTGGGACTAAAAGTATTTCCTTGCTAACAAAACTGACTATCTATATAACAGGCTTTTCATTTTAGAGATGTGACTGAGTAGGTGCAAACGGTGCAAAATACCCGAAGCATGGCTCGATTTGAAGAGGAATCCAGAAATTAATTGGTCTGTATAAAGTGTCATTGTGCCAAATGTTTCAATGACTGACCATGTGTTGCTACTGAGGGCTTCCCCAAATCCCTAAAGGACCGATCAGAGATACCTCTGAAGTAATATTCTCTTGTATGTTTCATAGATGTACGTGATTATTAATGTTACTAATGCTTTAATTGGAATGAATAGGATATGTGACGCTGTGTGTCAGGAGGACTTCTAATGTACTCACTGCTCATTTATGGTCTTGTTATTCTTGTCTTATGTGAAATCATGGGATAGATGACGTAGACGAAACTAGGTTGAAATTTGCACATCTCATGTTTCAAATATATTGGTGGGGGTGGAGGCACTCATGTTTATGTTTACTTTTTGTCTAAAGCTATTTTGACACCGGGTATCATGTTAAAAACAATAAAAAGAAATTAAACCCTTATGAAGACATATCATTTGCTACATTACCCTTTTGCTTGACTCTCTCTCTCTCTCTCTCTCTCTCTCTCTATATATATATATGAATCTTGGTATTTTTATGTCCTGTAATCTAATGTTCAAAAGATTGGGTACAGTAAGATTTTTGAAAAGAAGCATTGTGCTCTTATGCTCACCAAGGCTGCATTTATTTGATAAAAATATTGTAAAGTATCATTATAATTTAAAATAAATTATAATTGACAACTTTTGTACCTTTTCTGAGAGTGTAGGAAAATCTCAGCAGGAAAATTAATAATGAAATATTTGAAAAAAATATTTCCTAATTTATTAGAATGAAACTGCAACAATAAAACAAAAGCAAAATTATTATTAATAGATTCCGATATAATAAGGTAAAATAAAGGGGAAATCGTTAACATGGAACGTGCACACAAACTGCAAACTGTTCTCAGAGTGAACAGTGCAGCTCCATCACCACCACGCACAGTAAGAATAACATGATTATGAAATAATTGGTAAGAAACAGGTTGTGTTTGCGAAACGATGTATGTTATAATACATCGTGTACACTCACTAAACAAAGAGTGACAGAGACAGACACAGTGACAGAGCAGAGCCAATTCATAAAAGAACAATATTTAAAAGCACACGTCCAGTTTTGTGGGACATTCTACCAGAAACTTACATTTTCACTTGTAAAAATCTTGGGTGAAAAAAATATCTTATTCTTAAATCTGAACGTTGAGTCATATGGAGGACATGTTAATCTATATGAAACACATATCGTGCCATCTCAGCATGTTTTTATGATTGAAATAAATACATTTTTATACGCATTTCACACCTAAAATGTCAGGCCCTGTCACAGACACATTTGTATATGTTAGAATGGTTTCCTAATGAATTTCTTTGATACAAATAGCATTTTCTTATTGGTCACATGTACCTGATTGTATCTAACATGGTTTTGTAATTTCTATAAGGAATATAAGCAACTTTTCGGTCAACTGTAGTACACAAAATCACAGAATACCCCGCCAGGCACTCATATAGTTGTAAAAAATCTGCCTTTACATAGGAGATTTTTTCAAAAACATAGTAGTGGATATATACTCCAACCTTCATCTACACAGTTACAGAGATTAATTCATCAATATTTCCTCAAATATTACATTTTTATAATAATGCACAATATGGACCACTTGTATGATACTTGTGGTCTTTTGTGTCCTTTTTGAAGTTTGAAAGCTTTAGTATTGTCGGTTACACTTTACTTGAAGGGGTGTGCATAAGACTGACATGACACCTTCATAATCATGACATGACACCTACATAAACATGACATGACACATGTCATGAATATGAAGGGTTTTTTATGCATGTTTATGACAACTGTCATTAAGTGTCACTTGCTCATGTCAGTCTTATGCACACCCCTTCAAGTAAAGTGTTACCGTATTGTCTGATAATGTGTCAGATGATGACTGCTAAGGTTTTTTTGAGGTATGGCTCCAGTCTCTGCTTTTCTGTTCAGGCTCATCTAACGGAAAGATGTGTTACACCTGCAATGACACAAACTGTTCAACCAATAGAACACTGGATTGTAAAGGTGTTGAGGACAAGTGCATCACTGGAACAGGTAAATCATGGATAACTGCTTCTTGAAATCTAAAGTAATGATCTGCTATACAGAGACAGAATTGCTGTTTCCTAATGTACATAAATGAGTTATTTTCTGCTTAAAACGGTCTACCAAATCTAATTTGTCTTTTCTTTTCTCTCAGCTACATTAAATGGCATCAATATCTCTTTGAAAGGATGTGCGAGCAAAACCTTCTGTGACAATTATAATGTATTGTGATTCATATTTAATGTGTCATGTCATGACGCAGGCCTGCGTAACAGTGCCCAGAGTCTGACACAGGGAGCTGTGCTGCTGCTGGTACCAATACTTCCCGTCCTTTTTTCCATCTGAGATCTGTTTTAGGAGGTTTTGTTATGGTTTTATTAGTATGTGTATACTCTTTTTTTTTTATTTTTTTTTATTTTGTAGCTGTAAAGCAGTTTCAAGAAACACCTTTTATGATTAATTGAGGGTCATTCATTTGTTTCAAATGACTACCTGTCTGCTATAAACTGTGCTTTTGTATTTCTAATCATGAATCTAATCATGTATAATAAAAATGAAATGACTTTATTAGCAGTCTTATTAAACACTAACATTTCTATGACCAAAATCCCCTGCCATGGTCTTGTTATGTGCAAAAAGATGAGAAAGCGTGAAGAGTAACATTGAATAATAATTTTATATTGACAAAAGTTAAATTACAGCACACTTTCACTGTCACATGAGCTCATACACTTAAGCTGTGCTATGTATATTTGTAAAGTAGTATTATTTATATATTTTCTACAAATGGATTGCATTTTGTGGACAGAGCAAGAGATCATATGAAATTAGTTTTGTGATTTAATTACATTGTGAAATGATAAACAACTATTTGGATTCAATTTTCATTTAATCAGAACGCTATAGGAAATGTTGATGTTGGCTGTTTGCATCTTTGGTTATACAGTATTATTGAAAGACAGTTGGGATACTTTGATGGTTAAGTGCACGCTGACTAACAATCTTTTAAGATTTTGTAATCAAGCACAGAATAACCTCTGCGTGTTTGTCTGTACATGTTAAATATAAAAGTAGATGCATTTAAATACAACCACAAACATTAATCCACATTATACCATATGTTTTCTCAAGCTGTTCTGTAGCTCTACAGATACACTTCCGTAGGATAATGCAGGATTGCCTTGTGAACATTTACTCTGTCATTGTTCAAAAAACAAAACAAAAACAACAACAAAAAAGCAAGCTAACAAACATCATGCCTCCACCTAAGCTCCGCCCACAGAAAAACGTCACAATGTTTACTAACAGAAAAAGGGTCTATTTATCAAATGAATAAAATTAAAACCTATAATGGCGAATGCTTGGCTTATGAATATTAATCAGGTTACGTGACGGGTAGGCTGCCAAGCGACGTCTTCATAGCGTAGGCTAAGTAATATTTATGAGCGATGGTGTCGCCACAGTAGCGATCATTCCCGTATGCTGGTGGGCGGGGCCTGTCAATTCCAGTCAATGCCTCAAACGAAACAAGCGGTCGCCCGAAACACCAACACATCTCTTTAATCAAGTTTCAGAAATGTTGTAACTGGCTTTATGCATAAATTAAACTGAATATATTGTGGTAATATAAACCTTCATTGTTTTTTTACTACCACGTCTACATGTTCAGAGTTGAAAATGCAGTTATTGATCCATCCTGAGATTTGTACTTCACCGGTTTAACATCACTAACAGGTGAGTGTGTTCTTATTGCCTATTTTTCCTAAAATATGAAATTAGATATTTACAAGATTACATTTTTTTCTTGTAAAACATAATTGTACATATTCGATCATTTATTGTAATGTTGTTACTAATAATTAGGCTAATGAATACAATAAACAGACTTCATAAGTGGCATAAGCCTGTATTTAACCTATTCTACAAGGTTTGTGACCATGATCAATGCAAATAAAATGAATCAAATAACACTTGAATACTTAGACTCTCCCTAAAAACAAGTGCAAGTATGCAAGCCTGGAATCCAAGTTACTGAATATTTTAAACTAATATAACATAACAACAAGTATTTGCCTAGTCAGGTGAATTTTATTATTTGCATTTAGCTTTCTGTTTTTTTTTTTTTATCAGAAGAGACATGTGGCTGTGATTCTTTTTTGTGTCACTACCAAGCAGTCAAGATCTTTTTTAAAGAAACATACTTTCCACGGTTTCCCTGAAGATGTATAAATGCTTATGCATGTAGTCTGCAGAATGCATTCAGTGCAGAGGTGCAGATGCTGTGGCATGATTTTGAACAGTAATTAGCTCGCTTGCTAGTTAAAAAAAGCTCTTGACTGAAAAGCACAACAGTCAGTTTGCAACTTTTGCACAAAAAAGCACGTCTAGGTTGTGACAAGAATGACAATTTGAGAGGCCCTCAGTGTAGAACATGGTGATGAGCTCTGTTAATAAATAACTCAGATGAGAACCAAGCAATATTGCATAGAACATTGTGGTTAGAAGCCAACCATCCTTTCCCAAAGGCCTTTTTTAATATTTGTCTTCATATTTTGCTTAAAACACTTGCAAATAACTTGCAAGTTACGTGAAATATCTATTTTTACCTTTTAATGACTTTCTCTCTTGCAGAGACATGACTTAAAGCTGCAGGTGCAGACAGACATGAATAAGCAAAACCTCTTTTAGTGTTTACAGACTTGAAACGTGTCCTTTTTGCCATTTAAGACAAATCAAAACATAATTTCCCCCCTCAATTACATTAAAACATTCTTTATGTCGTCACTGATTCACATAATTTTAAATTTCAAACCTTTGTTTTATAATAGTATGGCCACTTAAGTTGGGCTGGTGTGTTGGGTTTTGACTAAATGATCACGGAACTGTCATTTTTTGTGTGTCTATTCATTAACCATTTTAAAATTAAGCTTCTTTTTCTTTTCTTGTGGTTGTTGTATTAGGGCTTCCTGTTCTCAGGATGTCTTCACTGACAGACGCCAGCTGGAGGTAACCACAACACTCTACAGCCATTTTCTTCACCCTGGAGAGGACATGGTCCACTGGGCCACTCGTCTGGTGACATGTGTCTGGATACAGGCTGTAATGTCTTCTGCATTAGAAACTTGTCCCCCGATGGCTCCCATCGCTGTGGACTTCTCAGTGCCGTACCCCATGCCTTACTTCCAGACCCACAATCCCATCCAGAACATAGTTACCAACTCCCTTTTCCAAGAAGTCTATGTGGCCTCTCAGAATGTCATTGAGGCGGTGAACATTACTCTAGGTAAACTTTGGGAACTCCATACGGGACCCGTGGGTAGT